GGGGTATCTCCCCGCTCTCCACTCTCATCTGCCCCCCACCCCCAGACACACACTCATAGACCGCAGAGAGCCTGTGTGGAAGGAGCTTGTTTAATGTCACTCTGATAACACAGGTAGGAGGGGACGTCCCTCTCTACCATCATCGTCGCCGTCGCTAACCAGTCTCACGTGAAGCAACAGAAAGGATTGACCCCCTTGCTCACTCGCACATCTACATCTTTTACACCCCACCCTTTACGGAGTATACTGACACATCGATGTTTTAACTAGCTGTATTTTCAAAACTTAATGTTAGAACCCTATGGGGTAGACAAAGCAGGCATTGTCATCACAATCTCAGGGTAAGAGAGGGAGGCCCAGAGTGACCAAGCAACCTGCCTGGGGTCACACAGCTATCATTGAAGCAGCATTTCGCTCCCCCCTCCCCCACCCCTGCGCCATCCACAGAGAGGGGTCAGAGACGGCCGGCCCACTGGGACTTCATTCAGGGAGGGCTGGCTGCCAGCCTCCCAGGGAGACAAGCTGGGGAATAGAGCTTGAACTTCAGGCAAATGTGCTGTCAGTAAAGAGGGCTCAAAGGTATGAAAAGACGGTACTGAGAGCGAACACTATTAGTGTTGGGCCAGGCGGTGTGCTCAGGGCTCTCTCGTTTTCGCGGAACGTTCCTGGAACCCTGGGTGGTGTAACTGCCCTCTTCCCCCATTTCATAGGCCTCGTGAATCAAAGTACTGTGACAAAGGTCAGGGAATGGCTCTGGAATTGGAACCCAATTGTACTTCTCCTACAGAGACCACGCTTGAGTTGCCAAAGAACTAAATAACGGCAGGTAATAAGGACAAGAGCCGATGTTAATCAGAAATATGCTACTTGCTAGACGTTGTAAATTCGTGTTGGTCCTCCCAGAGCCCGAAGCCAAGATGAGACTAAACGCACGAGATGTTTGATAGGGAAACTTCCACGAGAGAACAGGTTGGGAGCCCAGAAAGGCTGGGAGGGGTGAGGTCAGCCCGACGCAGGTCTGACCCCCAATCCAGGAGATCAGGGAGTGTCTGGGACCGCGGTGTGGCTCTGTGGGAGTCTGGCAAGGCCGTGGGGCCTCCTGGACCAGTCACCCATCAGAGGAGCCCGATGCCACAGGGGAACAGGCCTGCCTTCCTCTTCCCGCTTGGTCACTGGTGGGAGCAGCTGAGGGAGCAAGGCCTCGGTGCGAACCGCAAATTCAGAGAGCATTCCGGAGCCTTGGCTGGGGCCCTGGGTCGAGCCCACTCCCTGCAGGAGACCTGAGAGGCAGATTCTCACAGCCCCACACACCGCGACGTGCACCTTGCGTTTTCTCATTTATTTTTTAAAAAATGTTTACATTTATTTACTTATTATTGAGAGAGGAAGAGAGAGCACAAGCAGGGGAGGGGCAGAGAGAGAGAGAGAGGGAGAGACAGAATCTGAAGCAGGCTCCAGGCTCTGAGCTGTCAGCACAGAGCCCGACACGGGGCTTGAACTCACAAACCCAGCGAGATCACGACCTGAGCCAAAGTCGGCCGCTTCACCGACTGAGCCACCCAGGCGCCCCTACGTTGCATTTTCTCACTTAATACTGAAAAAAAATCTGGGAGCTCGGTACTATGAATAACCCCATTTTACAAACGAGAAAACCGAGGCCAGGGAGATGGCGAGACGTGTGTGAGTTCACACAGCCGGAAGCGGCCCAGTGGGAAAGGGAAGGGACTGTCGCCGGCAGACGGCTCCACGGTTCTGTGCTCCCCTCGTCAGTGCCTTGCTTCCGACCTCAGGGCCTTTAGCTGGCCACCCACGGTCACAGGAGAAAGCTGCAAGGGCCACCGTTCGAACCCCAGCCCCTCTGGCCTCAAAGTCCCGGCTCTTTCCATCATGCCACCGTTAACGCCAAGGCTCTGCCTGCTTGTGGCTTTGTCTAACCCCTGGAAACCGGCCTTTGTGTCCACGACAGAAAATATGCCAGCTGGAGCCGGAGGGGCGCGTGAAGGTGGACGTCGTGCTGCGGGCGGCGGAGGGCCTCCTGGCGTGTTGCCGTGACGGCCAGAAGCCCGAGATCCTGGCCCAGCTGAAGGACATCAAAGCCCAGTGGGAGGAGACGGTCACCTACATGACCCACTGTCACAGGTAAGGCAGCTCCCCGCCGGGCCTTCGCAGCCTCTGTTGACCCTCCTCGTTCAGCACCGCGCTGTCCTGGGGCCTCTACCCCGGGGACATTTCTCCGGTCCTGGAATTGCTGGGAACAGGATGTTCTCTTGGGATGTGCGCCAGCCCTGCCTGCCTCTTTCTAATTATAATCGAGCTTAATGATGATAATGGCAGTGGGAGTCCATCAGGTTTTGCCAACACTAAATTCTTAGTAGACTCGCCATGTGTTCGACCCCCAGCAGAATGGCGGAGTGGCCCTGTTGCCTGGCTGGCGACGTAGCCTAGACCCTGTGCTGCCCCTGAGAGCCAGGGAGGGATGGGGGGTTAGGCAGACCTGAGATTGGTGCCTGCTTGCTGTGTGGCCTTGGGAAAGTTACTTGAGCTCTCTGAGCCCCAGGCTCCTCATCTGGACAACGGGTATAATCAAGTGTTCGATGAAGGCTGTCAGGAAGACAGAAGAGGAGAAGCAAATGTCAAGAGCGAGGCACAGTAGGGCCCTCAGGGACCAGGAGCTGCCAGGGCCCCCTCCATCGCTCTGAAGCCAGAAGGTTGAGTGGCTGGGGCGACTTGGCACTGTGCTTTCCGCTTTTCAAACCCTCTCACTTGGAATTGCAAAGTCGTTTGATGTGGGCTGGAGAGATGGGGCCGTCTCCGTGTTACGG